GTGTGAGTGAGTGAGTGAGTGAGTGAGTGAGTGAGTGAGTGAGTGAGTGAGTGAGTGTGTGTGTGTGTTATCTCTTTCAGGTTCCTGAATGGCTCTGAATTCAGAGCTCGAGTTTTGTTCAAGTTTTGTTACATATTTTAAGTAATTTTTCCCCAGGAATGATCAATTAAATCAGAATGTAAACCACAGAGACACTGAGGATGATGGCATCTATGAAAGTGTCAGAAAACATGATAAACACAATAAAGACCACAGCGTTTGGTTTGGAGCATTTAGAGAAGACAAATTTCTCAATCTCACAAATTTATTTTTAAACTTTTTTTTTTTTTTTTTTGTTGACATTAATACGGATCAAATGGGCTACATAGGAAAGAAAGAAAGAAAGAAAGAAGAATCATGAACTTCTCGTTTAAGTTTATACATTTTTATTGTTTAATGCATTGAAAGTCAGCAGTACAATTGTGTGTGTGTGTTTTTTTTTGGGGTTTTTTTTTGCATGAAAATCATATATTTGGGTATGACTGATGGAATTTGTTATTTTTAAATTTTTTTTTTTTTTTTGGTTAAAATACTTCAAACAAGATACTAAGACTTTTCATCTTTATTAGTGTGTATTTTGTCACACTCCCAAGTTTTTCTTGTTTTTTGCATGTGTTAAAGCTTAAAACAACTGAAAGAATTTACTAGTGCAATAAAACAAAATATGCTAGTGTTAAACAATCTATGGCGAACAGACTAAAAAAATGGGCTAAGCACTGAGCTTTTAATAGTCTTAATCACACATTACTGATAAGGAATTTATCAACTACACTCCTTAAAAAGCCATTGCTGTCTCAGAAAAACATCAACTACAGAATGATCAAAATATGTTTTTGGCAGAATTTGGAAGTTTGATTTAGAGTTGTATACTTTCAGATGTGAGTGAGTGGTAAGTTTCTAAATCTCAAGCAAACTTACAATGGACCAAATGCGAATTAATTACGGTTAATCATGACACATGTAAAAGAACAGACTCATTGTGAGTCTGGTAACCTCTGCTGGTAAATGTTGTAATTATACTACCTTTTTTGATTAAATATTTATAATTTTTTCCAGGCAACATATAATTCACAAATATTTCATTATATTATAGTGTATTTTAAACAGCCTTAAAAGTTACCCATCGGGTTAAAGCGTGAACTTTTTCTTTAAAAGGGCAAATTCCAAACAGAAGTGAGCATCCCTATGCCCTACTCCCTTCGAAGGGCAGAGCCCTTGAAGTGTGTTCTTTGAAGGGTGTAGGGCATGTCTCAAATAAGCGTTTGGAACTCCCTTGGAAAAGGGAATGACTGACCAAATGTTACCTTGACAATGCTGCGCGAGCGTGCAGCAAATAATTAGTATTATTTTATTAAAATATTGTCTAATTTTGTCGTATTTACTATTAAACTTTTTCAAACTAAACTTGTTTAAACTTTAATTGTATTCCATTAAAAATAGACAAATTTAATTAGCCTATTCTACTTACGTTTATATGTGACGTCGAAATCAACCCCAACTTTGCTTTAAAATGCATCGCAAGATCTCCTAACCGAAGATCACATGATCACAAACAGAAATCACTTCCGTGAAGTGACCATCGCGTGTTCCCTTCACTAACAGACCTCTGGAAGGGCCTTCGTGAAGGGATTCAGTTGTTCACTTTCATTTGGAACGTCCCTACAAATGGCGTCCCCTTCCTGAAGTGCCCTCGAAGGGCGCAAAAAAGCCGTCTGGAATTCGCCCATAGTATCCACCTTTTTCTTCAACGCGGAAATAAGCCTATGGTCAAAACTTCTGGTTCATTAGCCACTATAGGTAAATAACGAGAAGAATAACAACATGCAGTAAACGGTAAAACTGTCTGAATTATAAACCAGTGTGTTCGTAATTAAGACAATACGTTCAAATAATATGGTAAGACACGCCAATTTTCAATATCAAGCAGCAAAACGAGCGGTCCTGTACAGCTAAAAATAGCTGGACGCGGATGAGACCGGAAGCTAGACCCATAGAATTTACAAATGGCCGCGCCCATTTTTACGGGAAGAAAAAGGTGGCTAGAGAATGTGAAGCTGACGTCACGCCGCGTTGAGCTCTGGGAAACTGCTTTGTTTATCCGCCATACTGAGAGGATGGCGCTGCCATTCTGCTATTGATTTCAGGGCAGTAGGCTATTTAGATTTTCTGTTGTGATTATGAAAGATTTCACCACTGTATGTCATTCATGCTGCATCGAGAATTCAAGTTGAACAGAGCTTCGTGAGTCAAACGTGCTCACCTCAGAACCCTTTAACTGGGGTTCGTGAGACAAGCTAATAATTAATTAAATCATAAAACATGACATATTAATGAATAATAAACTAGTAATAATAATTCCTTGAGAAATTTTAAATCGTTGACCTGCACGTCACGTGATCATTCATGTCAGAGAAGCGTGAACGTGCGAATGTGTTGTTCAGTTAAAACCTCCTGTTGCTTCGTGTTCGTCTCCGGAGGATCGTGTGAGGTTAGTCATTCTCTCTGAAGCTATACGATGATAAAACACGGTCATATGCAGGTCAGAGCAGAGCTTATGACACATGACTCCACGTTTGCCCTTTATTCTGATTATTTCATCTGAAATTAAACGCCCCCTGATCCATCAATCCAAACGCGTCGCTTTCTATGGAAATAAATATGACACAGATCACATGGTGATTCGTGCTAGTAATTCCTCACAGCTCTTACATCATTATAAATAAAATCACACTAGTCTTACTGCTGCTGCACAAGTCAGTTTGTACATTTAACAATGTTATGCATGGTTTTTATTCATGTGACATAGAAGACTGGATTTGGTTGAGTCACATTTTTTTCACACAGAAAAATTTATACAAATACAAAATAAAATGTGCTCATATTCTGGGTTCATCTGTCCGTCTGTATACAGTATGCATTATCAATAAGGTTTATACTGAATTAGGTCTTTTAATATCACGGTCTCAGTACATTAGTGCTTACCACAATCCTGGTAAAAATAACTGGCGGGCAGCAGAGGAAAGCTTTGTTTTGCCTCCAGGCTGGAGTTACATCACGTCAAAACTACCAGTTGCTTCAGGATGAATCTTGTTTTATTACTCATTTATAACTCACTTTTGTTTAAAGCGTCTGCTAAATAAAAAAAAGATATATTCAGTAAGTGTTGAGCTAGTGTTTCTGTCCAAACACAGCCATGGAGACGCGGATCAGATCTGGATCTTGCAGACTCTGGGCTTTGATTTTGAGTGAGTCATGAGTGAAGTCCAGCCGTCTGACACACTGCTCAGGTTCTTATGAACTCAATCCAGTGACAGAAGAGGGAAAACCAGACAAAAGCACCGGTGGAGCTCCCATTTGAGTCTTTTGGATTAGCACGCACACGACTTTATCTGGAAAACAAATAACAATGCAGAACACCCAGCTACAAATGTGAGGGAAGATCTGAGCACATTTAACAGTCATGATCAGATTGCAGTTTCCAGAGGCTGATTCTTTAATGGTCAGGAATGTGCTTACTTGACTGTACTTCACTGTTTCCGATTGAACAGCTCAAAGAATATAAAGTCAGTCGCTTTATGAAGTTCACCCACTCATGCATGCATATTCATGTCTATATACGCTGCAGCAGCTCAATGCATGAAGTCATACAGACGTGCAAATAGGGATGTGAGCAACGTGACTTCACTGGTGTC